GGTCACCAAAGTCGCAGGGCTCTAATATTTGTACAGAGAAATCACGACTAAAGACGACCCCCTAACCAAAAGGTAATACGCTTGTCTCGTAATCTGACGGTGCGGATTCGAGTCAGCGTACGGGCAGGGCTACCTTCGCACTATCTTAGCCCACGTGCAACCGGTGGGGGTTGAGCGGCAGCGAAGCGCCGCTACTGCGTACCGGCGTACTGCTGCTGCACATTTATGGGGAACTGACAAGGAGGCAGCAAACCGATTGATTGCAGTTCGAACGATTCAGTGTGAACTTCTGCCGCGATGCAACGCATGCTCCTGCTAGATTACACCTAACCCAATCCACTCAGATATGCTGGATGAAAAGTCACATGTTCGCTCAGCTGAGTGCAAGATGTGACAAATCACATGGTTGCATCAGCAATCAGAGTTATGGTCACCGAGATCGCACGAGTCCACTCTGATTAGGTGTTCGAGAAAACTGTCCTCCCCGATTGGCCACAAATACAGTGCAATGACCGCAGAACACGAGATAATCACGATGACAAGGCATGCATTATTTACGGGGCTTTGGTGAACTAGAATGGTAATTGTGAACCTGTGTTCTTTAGTTACCAATAACAGTTCATGCGAGAACAGTCTTTTCATCGGCCAATGTGATTATTCTGCTGGATTTCTGGAAAGAGGTTGAATTTTGGTCGATCTGGAATTCACTGATCCATTCCTTAGGAGGTGCTCCTCCTGACAATCACATGCGACTAGGATTCCTGACTAGGGAAACTGGGTGACTTCTGAAATGATTATGGCAATGTAGAACCAAGGTTGGCGTTTGGTTGAGTTAATAAAAACGCTCCCACCTAGGATTGCTGATCGTCATCCGCCGTTCTTTGCGGTTCAATCGTGAAAACGCTGTTTGCTCACGCGAGTGAAGTTACCCGGTTGGACGGCGATCTTCACTATCCAACCAGTGATTGGGATGCGTAGAGCAACAATTGATACGAATTTAGTTTGATTCCATTGCGCGTAGATGCAGTACGAGGCGGTTCGTTGAGGTGGGAGTGACAGGATAATGACGAATGACGATGGGATAGCGCAAAATGGGACAGCTCCGAGAACATCGCTTGTTATCGCAAAGGCGCTAGATAAAGCACCGCAGTGTCCCATGCAACCCCAGCTCTTCCGATACAGGGAAAATAAAATGCGCACATATTTCGTATAATCGCAGCTTCGGGCGAGCGTGTCAAATAGAACATAGCTATCAATCTAACCGAAGGTGGCAGAACACAGATTAAATCGACTGGATGATGCCGATTGTCTCGCATGAAAATGGTAGGCATCTTTGTGGTGGACCGCGTCAACGGTATATCATGTAATGGAAGTTGTCAAGCCAATAGCTGCTAAGACGATTGCTTCTCTTCGTCAGTTATTTTTCCGTAGTGCGATTCAACCAATGTAACTGCGATATACACATGTTCGTTTCCAGCATAGACCAGAGCTTATAGCGGAATGTAATTTGCATCTTACATGGGATGCAAAGGAGATAGAAGGTCAAGAGGGGAACGAGAACACCTAGAGATCCAGACGGACGCATGAGGCCAGAAGCAATTTTTCCACGAATGTTAAAAAGCGCACTCTTCGCAATGTTTGGAACAACGATGTAGAAGAAATAAGCAATACAAAGGGATAAGAAAAACAATTCACAGGCTAGCAGTTGATCCCCTACCGAAAGGATTCCCGAGCCTCAAAGAGCCCACAAGGTAGTGTGGAATATCAAGTAATTACAGAAGCTAAGGGCTGTAGAGACAACATTTGACAGCTGCGAAATCAATGGCCTTCTTGCACCCGATCTATCATGCAAGACTGTCAGCGTTCCTATATGACGGTATGGGATATCGACTCCCGGTTTTTGCCCCCGTCTTTTTCAAAAATTAGGATTTAATGTTAACCAGAGTATTGTTGTTATTATTATTATTATGGTGAAACTTGCCGGGACAAATAGAGTACATAAACAAGTGCCCGAGGTGTAAGTGGCAGATGCCCGGGGTGAACTTTGAAAGGAGATAGATCGAGTGACATGTCACCACCACTAGTAGATCAGTGCTTTTAATCGATGCTTCACCGCTGTACAGCCAAAAGCGGTAGTGTGCGAACACGGATACCGCGAAGAAGGTCACAAACACCATGGCTGTCCCAAAGTAGACGAGTAACCAAGCCACGAAGACCAACGCATCCCGGATAAGTAGGCTATGAGCTTTGACAGCACTGATTATAAGATAACTGGCGAGTGGTAAGAGAGCATGAGCTACATCGGCGACGATCTGCGAAATAATAATAGCGCCTGTCAATGGTCAGAATCAGAAGCATAAAACGGTAGGACGGAGAAGTTAGAAAGTAGCAAGTGGATTCGTTGGGTTTTTGAGAGGGTCCACCGAGGCTAGACTCAGTCAGCCAGCCACTATACATCCAGAAAAGTGCAAGATAGCTGTTACATCCCATGTGGACGCGTCAGCAGCGGGTAACCACCGAATTCTGCCGGATTCGAACCCATAACGTTACTATTACGAGCCGGCGACTTATATCGCTGAACCACAGGTGACAGCGGCAGGCCGCAGTGACTGATTTCGAACCGCGATACAGCGCGGTTCGACCTACACTGTCATGTATGTTATGAACGTCCAGAGAGCAGGGCTGGCCTCCAGAAGTGTGACTTCATTTGTCAGTCGCCATCAAACGAAGTGGCGAGTTAGTTGCTAAAATGCTTATTGATTAGTAGCGAGTAGCAGAAGGATTTATAAGTTTTTTAAGATTCGTCGCAGCTATACTCAGGAAGACAGTCATTATACCTCCGGGAAAGCGCTAGATGGGTGTTGTGACTCGCCAATAATGAGTATTCAATATAACACGAATCATCCTCCCGTGCAGTAAATAGGGGGAAAGCTTTACATTACTATGGGTGCGACGGACATATGGATTGAATGTATGTAGAAGGTAGATAAACTAATCCAGCTGGTCAAATGAAGTTATCACACCCTGATTGATGGGGGGTGATGGACACGGGCAGAGCAACATGACGGCTGGAGTCCTGGTATACAAGGCGTCACTTGATTATTGGAGAGGCCAAATGAAAACAGAGAAGTTACCCAGTCGCCAGGTAAAAAACAGCCAATGAACTACGCAGCGAATAGAGTAGTGCGGCATCATGGCTCTGTTTAGATTGGGGCTCTAAATAAATGCTTAGTGATAGTTATGGATACCTGGTGAACAACGACAGACACAACAAAGTGACCATTGAGCCCTATCAACTGTACCGTGTAGAAGTTAAGGTAAAAGTTCGAGCTCAGTGTGTGATTCGTAACTGTTCAGCTCAAAGAGTATGGCTAAAACAAGGAAAGGTGGTGGAATCAGTTGCTAGGGGATCGTCACACGAACTGGTATTAAGTAAGATAGCTTATTTATTTATTCGCACACAGGCCTGAAAACAGACAAGGGCCATCAAAACATAACAATAGCAGAAAAGATTTTGCTAAATAAGAAGGCAGCTTCACACCTGCCGTCTTGAGATGCTACTTACATTCGCACATCAAATGAAAAGAAGGTGAAGCATTTAAACCCCTGGTTTCCATCGCTAAAATCAACCAAGACTCACATCCGCTGAGATTCCGCATCGCGTGATCCCCGACCTGGGAGACGGACAGATCCGAGTGATGTTAGATATGATGTAAGGTTGTCCATGCTCCTACTCCGCGTTATCGGTTGTCCACCGAATGGAAAGGAACACAATACATAACCTTAGGGTGGAAAGGTTGATGACAAGGAGCTAGGGAGGTAATTTAAAGCACCACTAGCTACGTAATTGTGACACATCGCCTTATCTAGCCCTGGAGCGTCGTTTGAGCAGGAACGCTAAAAGAAGACGACACGGACCAGGCGAATGAATATTTTATCGGTTCCTTCCTGCCATTTGTCGTACCATGGATCCATGTAGTTGGCTTGCATACAGAGCTCACATTGGCTTCGTCAGGATAGACACAACAACGAGAAACGATGGGTGCGCCGGTAGTAGTCAGTCAGCAAGATCCCTGAAAGTGACCTAGTCACCATAAGTGTTGCATCCTCGAGAGCCAACTCAATGCTGTGACAGGGTTCTCATAGTCGGACGTGGACATGCGAGTTTCGATAATGCTCACTAGAAGGCAGTGCCAAGTAATGGTAAAAACTAGAGGGTGCATGTTTTGTAGAAGAGCAATATCTCGATGCCATCGAGGTTTAGTGGACAATTTCCCGACCTATCCAGTGACAATAGACTACTTGAGTGTACATTCTAACGTTGACAGAAAATTTGATAACAGTGTCTGCAGAGGAGTGAGGTTCTGGAAAACTACTCGGGTCTTATTGCCACACGTCAATAACTTCAGCAAGAAACATCATTCAGATACTTTCTTACTGTGTTGTGCGGGGGTTCCCACATATTGCCACTTTCCTCAGTGGACGGAAACTCCGCTACTCCCACTTTTGACAACGGCTGCTGTATAGTTTCTCATCTGACCTGTGAACACAGCCGGGATGCCCCATTACGATCAGCTCTGCAGTTGGTCGTTGCATCCAGTGTTACTGAAAAGGGCAATGTAGTAGATTCGACAAACCGTAGCAAGGCAGTCAACTCCACCCATTTGTGATGCAGTGCAACTAAAAGCCGATGCCAACCCGGCCCAGTAGTGCCGTAGTTTGCACGTTATGAGTGCAGCGCGCCTAATCTGCCTATCTAGGGGCACCTGTGTAATCACTGAATCGAAAGCAAAATATTTCCTGCTGTGCACTTTACTAGATTTATGGGTCAAAACGATGTAAGATACGAGAAAAACACATTGAGTAGGAAATGATTCCATATGTTATAGGGAAGGTGGAGCGAGAAACCTAAAAGGAGAAATTCATGCAGAGGATTGTGTTAGGAATGGATGTTGGGACATTATAAGTAGAATCAGATCACAACAGAGATAGTGACTTACCAACTCTGTGGAGTGCAGATGTTCGACAAATTGTGGCATAGCCATCAGAGCCCAGCGGGTAACTGGACCCAGAGGGCCATGGTCAAACACCTGGTTGGCTGACGCCCAAAAATTTGTCGTGGTTCCCAGTGGTAACCATAGTTCTAGATTAATATGCACCTCGGGTAGTTCGGTGCACCTGGAATTAGAGAAGGTATAGAAAGAAAACAAAGTCATTTGTGCAGCGTGGCGAAGTCAATCATGTAGGTCGGCATCAATTAATGAGATATGCAACCGTAATTGTCTCGCTCTGTAGTTACGAATTACAAGAGAATGCGTGTGTCTAGATGGAGTAGGGTGACCAGTATTGCGTCACCTAAGCACACCACAAATAACGCAGACTCGAAAAGGGAAAAGGATAGCAGGGAAGGGAGAGCTGCTAGGCCTAGAAAGGGTGGTAACAACAGCTGTGAGTTCTTATGGTCACGAGCAATGCACTGGCACAGTGCTCCAGCTCAATCGAGTCGTACTAGTAACTCGTGAAATCACCATATCCACAAGCTCAATACTAAGAAAATGGCAAGCAAATTATTCCAATGTACAGAATGAAAGGAAGCAGAACCTTTCAAAGTTCCTAATTGGTGGGTGAAAAAAGTATGACACGTGTGGCCGAAGTGTCGATTTGCTCGCAGAACTGAACAAAGGCGTTTCGCCACCAGTCAAAGAAATAAATAGCTTCTCAGCAGCAAGAGCTTCAGACAGAACCGGAAAATGCCGACAAGAAAGAGGAAAGAATTTCACGAAACATAGTTTTAGACGGCGAACTCAATCAGGTGCCGCATCGGATATATATATATATATATATATATATATATATATATATATATATACAGCTTCTGCTACCTTGGGAGTGTGATGTCGACTGATCAGTAGATACACAGTGAGCTGCGTATCCGCGTGTCGAAGTCAGCGACGGCATTCGGGAAGCTAGAGTACCGAGTGTGGAACAACCATCAGCTTACCGTTGGCACGAAGCTGATGGTGTACAAATCCATGGTGCTGTCCGTTCTTCTATACAGCAGTGAAACGTGGACGATGTACCGGCGAGATGTGCGATATCTCGAGCGGTTCCATCAGCAGTGTTTGCGACCAGTTTTGCGCATCAGTTGGGGAGACAGAGTTGCTAACACGGAAGTGTTGCGATAAAGTGGGATGTATGCAGTGGACTGCATACTTTTACTGAGGCACCTGAGGTGGCTCGGTCATATGAGCAGTATGGATTCGACGTGGATACCGAAACAAGTATTATATGGTCAGCTGTTTACTGAGAAGCGGCATGTGGGGAAAGCAGTTACGTTACCAGGACATGATCAAAGTGAGCCTCTCACGTTCTAATCTCGATTTCAGGTCATGGGAATCGAAGGCGGTTGGTCGGCGTGCATGGCGCGATCTAATCACGAAGGCAGTTGCCGAAGTGCGGAAGAAAGACCTCATTCATGCAGAGAAGAAGCGGCAAGTGCGGGGGCGGCAAGCACCGATGGGTTGTACTCCATCGATATTGAGCGCATGGTGCTGTAGCACATGCGGTCGCGAGTGTCTGAGTCAGGCAGGCCTAGTGAGCCATGAGCGAGGCCACTCGGAACCACTACTGCAGCAACGACGAGTCCTGCTGAGAGCGTGGGCAGAACGGGCGCATCGTTTGTAAGCACGCTGCATTCGATTTGTTAACCGCGTGCTTGCATGCTAATTCTCTTTATTTCAAGTGGTGGGTTTTCAATTTTGTACCAATGCTTTTCTTTCTCATATAAATGTCTGCCTGTACTCTCTTATATAAGCCTGCACACGTCGCTTAAGTCAAGTGCAGTTAATTTGGATAACATTTTCGTGCTTGTCGCATTTCCGTAAAATATACTTACTGACCTCGTGAACTTATCTCGGTTCTTTTGTAAACAACTTATTTCATATACTCACTAATTTAAGACTTATACCACCGTTTCCTTATGCATTATTCGATTTATTTTCTTTGTTATCTTTCTCTCAAGTGATTGGCTGTTGTTTGATATCCCCGATGTGGCTGCGCTTGATATGTATGTTCACAAAGTGCCTACCTGTCTATTATCCACTACATCCTTCATACGGGCTCCAGGAGACAGTTGGTCATTGCTGCAGGGGGACGAGATGCACGGTTCTTGTGGCCGTGCTAGACTCGAAGAGCGGTTCCATGCACTCAGTGTGGAGCGGACTACGGTCCAACCACCGCCGTGTGTGCGGTTGATTCCCCAAATACAGCGTGCTTCTGTTGGTCTTTGAAGGGGTGTGGGCCGGCTCTGTTGATGAAACGTGGCTCCCATCCACATTCCTCCCGGTCTTATTCCTTCGGTTTTACATTGGATATGGGGTGTGGGGATGGAGCTGTGGGTGGTGCAGCGCAAGCCATCCATGGTCCCTCTGTAGGTGCAGGTGTCCTGTGGCTGGCCACAGTGATAGGCAAATCCGAAACCGGATGCCGCCAACCATATATATATATATATATATATATATATATATATATATATATATATATATATATATATATATATATATATATATATATATATATATATATATATATATATATGTGTGTCATAAAAGCCATGAGGAAATAAATGGGAAAAGAAAATACATGAGAAGAAAACGATGTTTTTCACAGTTTTACACACGCTGTTTTGAGATAATTGGTGTTCTGAAGTTTTATATTCGATGAGGCGTTAACTAATGGATAACGCGGTTGAACAGCACTGTCTTCCCTGATGTCTGTTGCGTGTCATAACCCACATAGTTTCTAACCACTGGCAGTCTGAATCGTTTGGTCTTGCACATCGGCTCCAATCCAATATAAACGAGAAGGAAAGAGGAAAGAAATCGGGCAGATTAGGAACTGCAGCTTGAGACAGCAGAATATCCCGACTGAACAACGAACAGAGCAGATTAGCTAATTAGTTACCCGGAACAGGATGGGATTGAAGTGAGACAACCAATGACGTAACATGCTTCAACTAACGAGCAGAGCACCGAAACAGAAAGTCAATCTGAGGAAGCTCCGTCCGCCTTTTAGCCGTTAGCATCCTTCGGCCGGTGGCCGTGACCTGCGCACCTGGTTTGCAACCATAAGGTCCCCGGTTCGAATCCGAATAAGGGGTTGGCGTCATCGCGGTATACTCATTCCGTGCGCGACTGGTGGTGGTCGCGCGGTAGCGAAGCGCCGTTATGGCGTACAGCTGGCACATTAATATTATTATCCTTCGGATTTACCTGAAGTTCTGTGGCTACTAAGCATTACGTGTTAAATATGTCACCTCGACTGGTGGAGAAATGTCTGCAACCAAGCCGCTTCGTTCGGCGAGCAAATCAATACCGTAACTGATAAACCGAACTGTGGATATTCTGCGTTGCAGAATAAAATGGTGGAAGAGCCCGCACACACGAGAATACAAACGTCCCATGATAGCACACATATCGAGTATGAGGTTAGCAACATCTACGCCCAGGATAGTCCCCGTTCGCGTATACATGTATGGACGTCCGTACAGCACCCCAACAACGCTTGTTCTTGTATGGTCACGTAATACCGAGACTAATGTGTAGTAGACATGTTTAGTGGGTCCGTGATGTAGTCGTGCTTTGCTCGCAACCACACTGAATCGGTTCTGACTACATTACAGTAGCCCATGTGACAGCGAAGCAGTGGTACGAAATATTGACGCATTATGGTGCGACATATCAGTAGGTAATAGTGCCCCCAGGGGCAAGTAGAATAGCAGAAACGGGGGGACTCGAGAGGGAAAGGATAAGCTGTGGACCGAACCAACGGTCTAACACAAGATAAACGCTGAACGTTTGCAGAGGTGTTACAGGAAGTATCAAGAAGTGAGCTGGTAACGAAGACAGCGCCACGCAAGGTTCAGGAAGACAATCGTAGTGTTATTCAGCATCGTGTAGGTGAGTAGTCAGATACGATGCACATACAGTGGATGCTTGCTGTCTCAATAGATAACCCTTCGTTCCGTTGCGGTTCCTGCAATGCACAAGCGAATGAAGACACAAGGATGATACAGATGAGAAGACGTACCCGGAATCGCCGCATACCAAACGACGTATCGCCTCCGACGGGTGATCCCAAGCGCGGTGTACAAAAGTAATATTCTGGTAGCCCAAACGTTCATGTGCCAGGATACCAAAAATGTAGTTCAGGACCCAATGAGATGGTCTATCAGTCACCTCCAGCATTAAATGGAGACTACGGTTGTTGAAATGAAAGGTACGGTTCCAGATGGGTGTTTCTGAGATGAGATGATAAACAAAAAGGACTTTACCCGTACCTTCAGATCGAAGGCAGTGTTGTGTGTGTAAATTAAACTCAGCTTCATACATAGAACTGGTGGTTACATCACAGAACAGAGTGAACATAAAGGGAATGAAGCTCAGGATCATGGATGCGGGACACGAACGAAGAGAGCCTTCATCCGACTGCGTTGAAGGAAAAGGTGCGCATAGCGGCACGGCGACGAATGGCAAGGACGTTTGTAATGCATGAGAGAGTAGCGTTTAAAGCGTTGGAAAGCTGTAAAGAAAAAGCAGAAAGCTCAGAAATATCTGATAAAATGATGCCTCATTGGGAAAGCGGAGATAAGGTGGGTGTGAACTGGGTGGTTCTGCGCAAGGTTCGCGTTGACAAGAATGGGGGGACGGTGGGTTGATCATCACCTGCGAGAAACTTTCAGAACTGAAGTCGAGTGGCAATCAACAGCCAAAAAAAAAATTTTATGTAGCATCCACAAAAGTGGGCACTCATGCTCGGGCAGATGGCTCAAATAGTTCGGAATAAGAATGGAAAACCAGGTGTAAGCACTCAGCTTCCTAGCACTGGCGAACAGCTGGGGTAATTGAGACTCATTTGCGCTTCGTGGTGACAAGGTTAAGGAGTAGTATAGAAGCGAAACGTTCATAGCAAAGCAAACCGAAAGGATGCGTAAACTTCGAGGTCAGTGAACAGATATTCACTCAATATCCACTCTAGCACAAAGTTCATGTAAGCAAAAGGGAAACCAAAACGGGAGCAAATTAAAATTACGCGTCAAGCTTTTTGGATTGGATGAGGAAACAAGAGGACAGGATGTAACCCGGACGTATGATCAGCTAGGTATGAGCTGTAGGTGGATACAAACGGAGGGAAAACATGTGGAGCGTCAGTAAGCACGAAAAAACTGACTCCAAAGACTGCCGAAAAAAAACGGAAAGTTGAAATACGAAAAGTGAAAAAATTAACTAAACCGACTGGTGTCACATCCAGTGCACTAGGTGGAACGGCGCGAACCAACGGTGCGTGCAATACCGCTGGGTTTTGACAACATATCCCGTGAATGCCGCCGAGTGAAGAGGGAGACACGAAGGTAGAAAAAAATGGTATTTTTTGCAGGCAGTCGAAAGAAGCTGACACGTATCGATAATTGACAGGAATGCGCTGATAACTCAGGAGGAAGAGCGAATGACCGTGCAATATGGACAGGAAGCAGACCAACAGGTAAGATAGTGCACGGAGGTAAATCTAACCATCAGCAAAGATCCCACTTAAATGCTCACGGAACGAAAGAGATGGTGGTCAAGTAACGGATAAATACTGCCACAGAAAAAACAGCTAATGAGTGGGAAAATTGGAAAAGAAAGATCCAACACCCATAGATACTGAAGCAACAAGAAAGTGCTTTGCGTCATTTAGTTAGAATGCAGCCGCTTCTGAAAGAGCACCACATTCGGAAAAGGGCAGGCAGATTTTGAAGAAGAGCAACAGCGACAAGAGGAATGCAAAGAATCTACTTGGAGGAACAAATAAATGAGTATGCACTGAAAACTCAGAAAAGTAAACTGCGCCCGAGGAGTTTATCAGACCTTAATTAAGCCGCAACGACAGCAAAAGATATAATGAGGACAAATGGCACAGCTATTATCAGCACAAGGAACAAAAGAAGCATGTCACCGATGTGTGCTTGCCGTACGATGTCACACAACAATGAACGAATACAGGCAACCACATACATGACAGAATTACCGCTTTGGGAGGGCAGGTCTCTGTGTAAAGCTACAGCCTCATCAAAAGCGGAACAACAGAGGTATACGATGATGTTTCACTTGAGTACTCCTGAATACTGGTTGAAAGCAGTGAGTGCAGATACCGCTGAGTAGTTGTATTTAATATCACTCAGGTGCAAAAGTTTGTAATGTTGATGTGCGTTTGATATATTTCATGTTGGCGAAGTGATTGTCCGGAAAGTTCAGGAATTTCGACATTGACTTCGCCTCAAGCACGTGTTGCGGCAGGTTGTTCCATACATTCATCACTCTCCATTCGAAGCAAAGTTGGTGGGCGACCCGCTTAAAATCCGGTACTACAAGCTTGTACCGTCGTTGTCCTTTTGTGTTGCTTGGTTTGCGCAGATGCAGCAGCGACCTCAACATGGGGTACGCAATACGGTGTTATATCTGGTGCGTCATAATGAGATCAACCCTAGTCTCCTGCACCGGTCTTCGTAGGTCACACCACGTAAATTTGGAATCAGTCTGGTGGCTACATGCTGTACCCACTCAATACGTTCTACCTCGCCCCGGGTGACAAAACAGTATGTGAGTGAACCATACTCTATCATTGGTTATATCATTGAGACAAAGAGGCTAGTAGCAATCTTTTCGGATCAAGTACAGAATCCGCGCTTGAGCGCCTAAAGCGTACGAAGGTCGTTTAGTCTAATGAGCAGAGAGCGAACAGAAGTAGAGATTTAGGGATGCCTGAGATCAAAAGCTTGGAGAACGAAAGTCTCAATGGGGCTGAAAAGAATAACCCTCACTGTAGTCTCTTGAACATGATGGTGTTAGAGGTGTCGCAGATTTACGACGGCAGCTCTGTCAACACCTGAATTCATTTCAGCGGACACTTGTCCCCGTAGATTAAGAATCGGACATAGCGAATGTATTGAGCAACAATCTCTAGCAAAGGATAGGTAATTGGCCATACAGAAGCACTTTGCGCTTGAAAAGTGTGAGCGCATGGTAAATGTGTTAAGGGTTGGCCACGTTGTCGCCGATTGCCAAAGAAAAACACGATAGTGTCTGCATAAGTTAGGTGAGTCAATCACACTTTCAGGTAGCTTAATCACAAGGGAACGCTACCTGGTGAAAGCTGGCGGGGGGGGGACTGAATGAGCAAAAAAGTGGGATGACTGGAGGGCATGCTTGCCGATCATTGCAAGAAAATTTAATACGCCCCTGGAATAGTCTCATTCTGTGATAGATGCTTTGCGTCTTAAAAGTGCAAAATCCTCATATGCTTGATGCCAGCTTGAGCTTTAAAAATGAGAAAATGGAGATTGACGATCAAGTAGGTGATATCAGAAACGCATCAGGAGCGATGGAAGCGTGATGACAACATCTGCGCAGAGAGCGTGATTTTCCTTTTTCTAAAATACCACGGGGCCGTTCTCCTCCACAGTTGTCGTAACTGTAGATTAGAGGTGAATTCAAGGCTGATAATTGCTGCCCGTGGAACATTACTTATGTGAAGTGGCACTGAGGTGTTCGTATCGGTAAAATGAAGAAAACACTAATTGGCGGTGTTCGGGTCAGCTTCTTACATCATCTGAATAAATAGCGTTGATTTGGACTCGCCCTACTATGATTACTCGTGCATACCGAAGGACGCCTTGCTATGTGTTAGGTTCGAGGGGCAATGTTGATTCGGTGTAAGAAAAGGAAGTCGGCAAAGACCAAACTGGGTGTTGCTGGTATGTCTCGACTTCCAGGCTGGAATCCAGGTAATACATAGTACCAAGTTCAACACCGTGCAAAAAAGGTCACAACCGGCACCAATGATGTTTGTTTACGTTGCACTATATGTGAGGTAACGTTGAATATAAGGCGGAGTATTGTGAACCTAAAAGAAACAGTGTTGCCAATGCAGCCTAATCCGCAAACGACAAAATGTTGTGTGGCAATATGGTTGGTAAAATGCAGATGTCTTGATTATGAACGCTTTTAAGTGACAACAGTCTACCACGAATCTTAGTAATAAATGTGTGGACCATTAAGGCTGTAAGGCAGTGAAGTATTGGAACCAATGCCGTCGTGTTATTATTATTATTATTATTATTATAGTTCTTGTTTCGGTTTGTGTTAATGTTGTTGCACGCGTAGCGGCGCCGGATAAGGGTTATTTGACAAAAGAAGATTGTTGAATACGACGGTTGCGTGGGGGTGAATGCCAGTGCGAATGAAGCAATGCACGTCTTGTCATTTATACTTGGGCTACCGAAGAGAGAGGGGCAACAAAAATCAGGATAGGAAGAAAGACAAAAAAAGAGCACGAAGTGGATCATCAGCAGCAGAGTGGTTTTGTTTAATCATCGCCAACTGTGTACAAGAAGTTACTTTCACTATACACGTTAACTAAAGGTGGAAAACAACCGCTATTATGCCGCAATGTACGAAAGGAAAAAAGAAGACGTAACAGACGCGCGCCAGCTGAGCCAACGGTAATGGATGGACAATGTTTCGGAGAGCTAACAGCCGGTCATTATGCCGCGAAAAGTTATTTTGTGTCAGTAATTATTACGTTCGTAATAAATTTATTCCGTCATATAACCTTAGACTTTAAATGTACATATCTTCGCTCAGAAGTAAAATTTTTACTCGAAATAAAAACCATTTGAATTGGCACACTGTCACGAACTGGATAGAACTTTATTTATTCCGGATGAATAAATTTCCAAAGCTCTGATGACGACGAAATCGTAGAAGGCAGTTCCAGCATCTCCTTGGGTCTTAAAACTTTTGTTCGTAGGAAATTATGCAGGTGCTTGAAAAAGCGTTAATCACTAAGCTAGTAATAAAGGATGGTGTATGAAGCAACGTTTCGTAGTATAGCTCGTGCGGCCGTTGCAAGGTTGTTTGTGTGACATGTAACAGCGTTATCATAGGAAAGAATTGGCCCCTATCTGTTGTCAGTGCCTCGCACCTGTGTTGAAGTTTTCGGTCACTTCGACAATGTGTTGACAATAAATCTCCACTGCAATGGTTTCGTATGCATGCAGAAAGCTGTATCAAACCACCCGCAGACGACCAAACAACCATCATGATCATTTTTAGGCGGAATTTTGGCTTTGGGAAGCGATGTGGAGCTTAACCGTGGTCCAACCATTGAGAGATTCGTCATCGATTATCGTAAATGATCCACTTTTCATAGCAAGTCACAACTCTGTCGAGAAACAGGTCGTTCTTATTGCGCAGAAGAAAGGCAAACAAAACCACAAAACAAAGATTTCTTTGATTTGCATTAAATTCGTCCGGCACCCACTTATCAAGCTTTTTCGACATCCCAATCGCTCGTAAATGTTGTAACAAGCGCATGCGATACTACTAATCCAGTAGCAAGATCTCGAGTAGTTTTAC